CTTTGCACTCCTCACTCCACACTTTACACTCCACACTTTACACTTTACATCCACACTTTACACCCAACACTTTACACTCCACACTCCGCACTCCACACTTTACACTTCACACTTCGCCCTCCGCACTTTACACTCCACACTTTACACTCCACACTTTACACTCCACACTTTACACTTTACACTCTACACTTGACACTCCACACTCCACACTCTCACTTTACGCTTCACACTGCACACTTTACACTCTACACTCCGCACTTTACACTTTACACTCCTCACTCCACACTTTACACTCCTCACTCCACACTTTACACTCCACACTTTACACTCCACACTTTGCACTTTACACTCTACACTTGACACTCCACACTCTACACTTTACGCTTCACACTGCGCACTTTACTCTCCACACTTTACACTCCACACTCCTTACTTTACACGTTACCCTCCACACTCCACACTCTACACTTTACACTCCACCCTCTTCCGCATTCCACTGTCTACAGTGCACTGGTATGATAACAGGGGAAAAATGTAGACTGTTCAAATAACGTTCTACGTGATTGCATTCGGGTTCGTGGGCTGCATCTTGTTTAGGGATGCTTTCAGCGTGAAACGCTGTCAATCATTGGCTATATCTCAATATTTTTCTGCTCAATATCCCAAAACGTTTAGCAAACAATCACTGCATTGTTTTCTTTGTGAAGCCAGGCACCCAGTCAAAGTAGCCCGCCAAATCCAGTGCTTCAATGATTCATGTCATTTTTCGCATTAAAACTGACATACATTGGTGTAGCCGCCTCTGGTAGTTTAACAGTTTGCTATTGAAAATTGTCCCGATGAAATAGCCTGATGATTTACCAAATGAAACATGGTGATTTTCCATACAGCTATGGCTATGCAACAAATTCCGAGAAGGTACTCATCTTAAATGTTCCTGTTTTTTGTTAGATTAACAATGATGAACCACCAAAAAGCACCAAGCACCATTCCATATTTTCCGCAGAGAGGATCTCAACTCTTTGACCCATTTTTTCTCAAAGTATTTATCGCTCAATAGCCAAGCCCAGCGTGTGAAATTTGGCCATGAAAAAGCACTGTTGAGTTCCATCACACGCAGGGGCGCTCGGATAACTTAAGTTTATGCAACGGTTGGTGGTGCAATAACGATCTTGAAAAATATTAGTCAATGGGAAGGATTATCCCATATATTAGGGAAAGTAAAAATGTTCCAAACCACCAACCAGTAGATTGTTTTTTTACATTAATTTATACCTAAAGGGGTCCACCTTCTCGGGCTTGAGCACCGGCCAAGTGATTCTTATTATCAACAAGAGCAAATTGTGCCTCAAAGTGGCAAATTGAATGGGTAAAATGGGTTTGTCCAAAAAGAAATAGGGTACTGCACTCTGGTTAACATTCTTTTTCCATATTAAATTGCAATTTTGGTGGGCATTCCCTATTTTCAGATAGGCCCAATTCTTTTCCAAACCATTGGTTGCTGCATCGCCATGTTCTTCGGACAAATTCCCAAGGCAGGAGGTATGTAATTTCACCTTCTCAAATAGCATCATACTACAACTGAGCAGTCTCCAAGATTCAAAACCTGGGAATATTGTAACTAATTTTTTTTTGGCCCCCCCTAGTTTAAGATTGACAAAACCCATGTAAGGACCCCTTGTCAAAGGGCCAAGTGGCCACACACCTTAAATATGGTAGTCTGGGGTGCGGAAGAATTGCTGCACATTTTCAATGCGATAAACCTCAAGCCTCAACTTACCAAATCAAACCTAGGACATAATTTTCATTGAAAAAAACAGTGGCAGCTGGTCTCGTTTACCATGTCTGTCCATTCCTAGATTCTTGGTCGAACATCATATTGGCCCATGAAAAAACATATCCATGGCTAAAGTCTAAAGCTCAATGATCAACCCCAAACCAAGCTTCGGCTCAGTCTTCCATGGCCCTGGAGAAAGGCGCCCTTTCTGAAAGTTCCATCGGGTTCCCATGGGTCATTTCTGTCATGACATGTGACGACAATAGGAAGGAGAGAGCTACAAATATTGGAGCTGCAGCTGAATTGAAGAGCTGTCGCCGCCATAATCTGGATCACCCCACGCAACCACGGATCCATCTGCTAAGATGGCAGCAAATGCCCAGCCTGTAGCCTGAATTTGTTGCGCATTCTTGAGTTGATCTTGAACTGCAGAGCTGTCGCCGCCATAATCTGGATCGCCCCAGGTAACGACGGATCCATCTGCCAGGATGGCAGCAAATGCCCCTCCTGCGGCCTGAATTTGTTGCACATTCTTGAGCTGATCTTGAACTACAGAGCTGTCACCGCCATACTCTGGATCACCCCAGGCAACCACGGATCCATCTGCTAAGATGGCAGCAAATGCCCAGCCTGTAGCCTGAATTTGTTGCACATCCTTGAGCTGATCTTGAACTACAGAGCTGTCGCCGCCATAATCTGGAGCACCCCAGGCAACCACAGATCCATCTGCTAAGATGGCAGCAAATGCCCGTATTGTGGCCTGAATTTGTTGCACATCCTTGAGCTGATCTTGAACTACAGAGCTGTCGCCGCCATAATCTGGATCGCCCCAGGCAACCACGGATCCATCTGCTAAGATGGCAGCAAATGCCCCTCCTGCGGTCTGAATTTGTTGCACATCCTTGAGCTGATCTTGAACTACAGAGCTGTCGCCACCAGAGCTTGGTTTGCCCCAAGTAACGACGGATCCATCTGCCAAGATTGCGGCAAATGCCTCTCTTATGGCCTGAATTTGTTGCACATTCTTGAGCTGATCTTGAACTACAGAGCTGTCGCCGCCATAATCTGGATCACCCCAGGCAACCACGGATCCATCTGCTAAGATGGCAGCAAATGCCCGTATTGTGGCCTGAATTTGTTGCACATCCTTGAGCTGATCTTGAACTACAGAGCTGTCGCCACCATAGCGTGGGTTGCCCCAAGTAACAACGGATCCATCTGCCAAGATTGCGGCAAATGCACCTTTAGAAAAACCATGTGTACCCTTCACTCGCTGCACATCTTTGAGTTGATCTTGAACTGCAGAGCTGTCGCCACCACCATAGTTTGGATCACCCCAGGTAACCACGGATCCATCTGCCAGGATGGCAGCAAATGCCCCTCCTGTGGCCTGAACTTGCCGCACATGTTTGAGCTGATCCCCAAGTCACCATTCCATGACCCCCACAGCACCATATTGCAAAAGCTCCTGCTGCTGTTGCTGCCACTTTGGGCTGTTGTGCAAAAACTGTTAAGCGCGCTCCTTCTTGGATTCCCGCAGTGAGCAAAGAGTCTTCAGGATTGGTCAGGACGTGTCCCTTCTCTGTGACAAGCTTCAGAAATCCTTGCCTGAATGACTGCTGGACCAGCACTTTCAGGTCACCCACTGTAGAGTTTTGTGGAAGCGCCAGACTCTCACCGCAACCACTTGGGAACGATACATGTACTTTGAGCATTGCTTGTTCAGGATCCCAAATGGGGCCTCCAAACATTTAGCCACAAGGAGGCCGAAAGCCTGCCAAAAAGTGAGTTTATGTTGTTTTTGTGGCCAAATGATTTCCAATGGAATTAATCTAGCCAGATCTAGCCAGATTGAAACCTTGTTTTCGGAGGCACAAATGCACAAACTCTAAATACGTCTTTACATATCGACCTATCGAGCCACCGCTGCCGCAGGCGCAGAGATTTGGGTGAACCATCCTATTTGAACAGAACTCATCCAACATTCCGGCTGTGACTCAAATGAAGGGAAGAAACGATAGAGTTGAGTCAATTTACCTGGCTGTCGCAAAAATGTTAGGAGTTGCTTGGAGCCTCTTAACCTTGACTATCCGCTGTTAGAAGGTGGGGATGATACCCCAACTTCTTTTACCATAAAATTGTGATATGTTGGAAGCTTTCGATCCACACACCGCAAGTTCTTGGGGGTGCAGTTCCAGTTCTTCTTCTGGATATCGTAGTAAGTTTGACCAACATGTCCTCACTGATGGAGGTGACCAACAATGGCCAAGTCTGCAATGACCATGATCTTAGCAATGATGGTCCGTTACTTGAGGAGGTTAACGTTATTTAAGAAAGTTACCACTATTGCTCATTTATTATAACTTATAACTCCCGTAGAACTAGTATGGGAAACCCTAATCTTGGACAATATGGGAAGTTTCTATTTCGCACCAAAGAGACACGTACTTTTTGAAATCTGTATGGTTACGCATCCATTTGCTCCCAAAAACGATAGATCCAACGGTAGAAAGGATTGATCTTGGAGAAGCATTGCAAAATAAGCACCATGTTTTTATCGCACATTGGCTTAAGCACCAGATGAACAGAACTCACAGGCTGAGCCCTGAATTTCTCCCCCAAAAAAGGAACCATAGCTATTAACCCATGGCTAACCTTCCCATAACCTTGCCAATCTTAGATACTTTGCAAAAAAAAAGTTTGTCAGAACTAATTATTAGTATATAAAAATATAATAATATAGAACAAATTTAGATCCCAATCTTAGAACAAAAACATTTGCCGACTTCGTTAGTAGATATTCCCATTTACCCTCTGGTTATTTAACCTAGCTATGGAGAATGGCCCATTTACAGGTGATTTTGCTATAAACCTCTATTTAAAATGGATTTTCCATAGCTATGTTAAATAACCAGATGGTAACCATTAACCACTATTATTGGGTTAATATTAAATTAACCATAGAGCTGGGTGTATTTTAATTAATTACTATTACTAATCCACCCACACACTCTTGCTTTGTCAGTAGAATTCCCATTTATCATTTATAGACTATCATTTGCTTAGGAAACTCTAAGTAGCTCCAAACAGCTCCACATTGAATAGGGAATATATTTGGAGTATGGATACCCATAGCTCCTTAGCTCCTTCTTAACCGCTGGATAGATTTTCCCTTAAACCATTCATTGATCCATATAAAAATAGCCACACCACCCTCGCGCGCCTGCAACTGCGCGGGCCACTCATCGTTGCTGGGATCCACCGAGATCAAGCGATGGAAACAGCCCGCCGCCTAGGGTTTAGGGTAGGTCGGAGGCAGTTCGGAACTGCAAAAATGGTGACATTTAATAAGAGTTATACTATGTTATTTTAAGGGATATACCCTCCAGTAAATTAACATAGACCCTGGTAGATAGGGGCTGGAAGATTAGTTTCCACTAAACATGGGTTATTTTCAGGGTCAACAAGTTAATTTACCAGAGGGTAAAAGGGGGAATATCATGGAAAAAAACAACATGATTCTCATGAGGATTCAATGATGTATAATGAATTGTGATAAATCTAAGGACTTGAACAGCATATGACCATATGTTCTATGGAATTTCAGCAGCACATTACCTGGGATGTTGACGCAATTTAATGGTGATTTTTGAATTTTGATTGAACTTGGCTGAACAACCACCATCAAACATCCATCAACAGGGGTTGAACATGACAAATCACAAATACTAAAATCATCACCGGCTTTTTAACACCACAGTTATCAACTTTATCAACTAAACTCAATCATGGTGATTTATCACCTATATAGATCCCGGATGATCCCAGTCTCTTCGATACTTAAAACCCCATAACATCTCCGGAATTGATGGCTCAGTCCCATTTGTAGGTTTCCTAAAATGAGGGATTACTCCAATAGCTGGATGGTCTTTATATAATGGAAATCGATTTAAATGGATTTAGAAAAACCTCCATTCAAATCCCAGTTATACATAGTTATCCCAGTTATCCTGAAAAACCTCCATTTAATGGAGTAAATCCCTTCCATTTAAATGGTACCTCAATTTTTGGAAACCTCCATTTAAATCCCAGTTATACTGAATGAAGGTGCACTCCACTTCATGCCCCCAAATCCCATTGCGCGCCTGCGACCAGTGGCACTGACGCTGATGTAGCCGGCCCAACAAGCGCAAGGCTCCAACCTTTCCCCCAAAAAAACATGGTGCTGAGAATGATTGTTGCCATGGCCCCCCAATTATGCATGTAAACACTACGCGCTAGGTCCTTATATCTACATTTTCTAACCTTTAGTTGGCCTAGTTATAAATCAACTTAGCTAACGAACTGGGGCACCACATTGGGAGGTTGTACAAACATTGAGATTTACCAATCCGAAATGATGGATTTCACCTCGTCTTTAGAGGTACAAATGCACATGTCCAGCCCTCGTAGGTGGCACTCATTTGGGTTTGCCCAAAAATTATGTAAAACCGAAAAGTATGATTTCAATTCAAACAAAACCATTTGTCGTAGCTTGGAGCAAGCCCAACAGAATTCTGGCAACATTGGGACACTCACCACATCACCGCAGTTGGTTCACAGCCCATTCAGAAGTCCACTTCTTTTCCTTTTACCATTTGGAGGTTTCCTGAAGGGGTATTCCCAGTTCTTATCCATTTATAGCTAAGATTTTCCCTAACAAAAACCATCCAGCGAGCTATTGGGCTACCACCACTATGGAATCTTCCCATGTCACTGAGCCTATTCCCCAAAGTGGACCTAACGATGGAAAGCACCCACTTCTCGAGGATAAATCGTCCCAGCAACCATCGTTATAAAACATCCCAGTCATAGGCCATGTCCTATTGGATGACTCAACCGATTGAAATGACCAATTGACCTGGTAAACGTTTACATAACTATTGAGCATCGCCACTTTTAATAGGTAAATCCATGGTACATCAACGAAACTGGGCGATTGTCCAGAGCAAACGGTCAAATTTTTACCGGTACCACATGACACTTTTTGGACCATCTATGAAGGCATCCTAGGATCCGTGGGATGTATTTTCTTCCCGAAAGCCTTTTAAGAAAACCAAGGAAGGAAGGGAGATTCTGTATGACCATCATATAAATGGCTTGTGGCATGGTTACTAGCCCCTTACAATTCCTGTGATGCGCAGCAAAATAACCAAAAGATGTGACCACTTGGAGGATCATCCCCACTTACTATGGTTGATAACCCTGCCTGGTAAGTCTCCATGTCGTGGCTTATCCCACAAAGAAATACTGGTTGGTGGTTTCACCCCCTCTGAAAGATATATGGACAAATAAAAAATGTTCCAAACCACAAACCAGAATAGGTTACCACCCCATTAAAAATTGCGATTTTCCAGTTACGTTAGTTTACCAGAGGGTACATATCCCAATATTTCCCAATATATCTTATATAATGGGCTTAAAAACCAGCAAGCATTTCACTAAGACCATATATCCCAATATATCCCAATATATCCCAATATATCCCAATATATCTATCATTTCCCTATCATGTCCCACTATATCTAGCGATTTCTTATCATTTCCCCATCATTTCATCCCGTTTTTCTCCATGGCTTTCACCCTCCAAGACGTCGCCAGGTGCTCCCCACGTGGTTGGGATCTTCCTGCAGGAAGTTCACCAAGAGCCTGCGCGCCTCATCTGCCTGGGATGCAGCGGAGCAAAGAAAAAGCTGGTGTTTTTCTGATGATATGGGGATGTGTCAAAACCTTGTACCCCTGTAGTTCACATCAAAATAGCTGGTAAATGGATGTTCATTCCCCTAAACATGGTATTAATAGGTATTGATCCATACCCATATGTTTATCAGAAATAATAGATATGGATAATATAATATTAATATGGGTTTTAGTGATTATCCATTGTTTATCCATAATATTTATCAATAATAAATTTTATAGTGATATTGATAAATATTGATAGCTATGGATAATATATATATACTATGTTTATCATTGATATTTATGTGTTTATCATGAATTGATATTATAACCATGGAACTATGATAATTTCTGGTTGTGTCACCCTTTGGCTCCTGCAAAAAAATCATTTCTTCGGCCACATGGATGGCGGGCCCTGCGGGCCCTGCGGGCCCTCGATGTCCCGATGTTCCATGGTGACACCTCTTGGTTGTGTTTTTTTGATGAATCAAAGGATATCATTGATATATGGATAATGTAACCAGGGTAATATGGATATATATTGATATAAATATATATATGGATATATATCATAGGATATCATTGATATTATGCATAATGGATAGAACAAACACTCTAGATGATAATATAAAACCATGGTAATATGATAATATAATACAACCCATAAACATATTAAATTGTACTTCCATGACATACCTAAAACTTAGATTTTTTTTGGTGGGGATATCATGAGGATATTCTCGGGATACCATGGGGATAATGAACAGTTCAGCAGCTAACCATTTAACTGAAAATGGAGTAATAACATATGACAATAGATGGTTAATAGATGGTTAAAATTAATATGATAATAGATGGTTAATAGTAGATGGACTAATATTACCTATTGTACTAGAAATGGCGATGGATGAAACAAAATGGTGGTGTTAATAGGTACCATAGTACAACATAACAATAGTTTTCATTGATAGGGCAGGATATAATACCTGAGAAAAAGGTGGCACTATGATAATACTGGGAATATGATCACAATGGAAATAATGAATATAACATGATATAGCTAAACATAGTAGGGTATATTGGGAATGTAATGGGATATAATATGATAATATGATATAGAGATACTATAAATAGTCACTTCATTGATTATATTACCATCTGGTAAATTAACATAGACCCTGAAAATAACAATTTTCTAGTTGAAACTAATTTTCCAACCGCTATTTGCCAGGGTCTATGTTCAGTTACTGGAGGGTATCACCCATAAGACCACATGGTTATTATTGATGATCTGGCAATGGCTCAGAACCCTGGTGCCACACCCCACAAAATAGTGGCGTTTATGGATGTTCATCTCACTAAAAATGGATGATAATGGCTTCTGACCCATCCCAAAACATACCGAAACATAGGGGATACCCTCTGATAAACATACAAAAAACGAACTGGAAAGATCCACCATTTGAAAAATGGGTAAACCAACTATTTAACTATGGCAATTTTCAATAGCAAACTGTTAGTTTACCAGAGTGTATCATGAGGAATCTCCCAGGGGATAACGAAAAAAATCAGCAACCATGAGGCGATTCCTCGGGTTTTTACCTGATCGACTTAGTGGGAAAATCCTCTAAGGCTTATCTGAGGTGGTTTATAACTAGCTAGTTGGATATATCGCTATGTTTATATATGTTTATATTAACACTATTATGAGGTGGTTTATAACTATCCAACTAACTGAGGTGGTTTATAACTAGTTTCACTGTTGGGTGAAATCACTGCCAATCAGCCAGAGGGCCCCTGCAAAAAATGAGAAGTTCTTTGCTGGTGACCGTAGATATTCCCATTGATACCATCCAAGACTAGTTAGGATTAGTTTGTATCCATGTAAGATTGAGCTAGTATCATAAATCAGCAACCAAAATCCCATTGAAAACCACCATTGATGTTGGTTAAATCACCATTTTCCCATGGTTTTGAACATTACCCTAGTTAGGATTAAAGTATCCATCTAAGATTGACCTAGAAATGTTGGATATCGTCATAAGTCGATCACAAAAAACGTGAAGTACCACTTGATCCCAAAAAAACACCTGAATTTTACTGTAGGTTATTTACCACTATGTCCATGATTCGTTGGTGAAATTTCAAATGTTTGATGGTTAAATTAATTTAATAAATTGAAATAGTTGGATTTTGATAGCTTTTTCAATTTTTTGATAGTTAAATTTACCACTATGTCCAATTTTCTGTGGTTTAAATCCCATTTTTAAATCCTCATAGCATGATTGGTTTAATCACAACTTTTCGACGGATGAATCTTCATTTTCCCCGAGCAGCCAGGGGCCCCACCTGCCCTCTCCTTAGTTCCAACAAGGCGAGTGCACATGTGGCCTCGGGATACGATGGAGTCGCCAGAATTTACTAGGGGTTTTCATAGAAAAACATGGGGTTTCACCCGCAAATCATAGTAAGGGTTCATATCCCTTATAATCCTGGCTAAGAATGGGTAATGTGACAGTAATATGATATATCAGATATATCCGGGTAAATTGTAATGTTTCACTAACCTTGAAAAAGGCTACTTTGGACAAGTTACTCCTACTAGCCATTTCAAAAAATGTGGTTGGCCATTGGGAACTGCGCTACTTTTAACCATCAACCATGGTGATTCAAGCAACAAATCCAGCAACATATGAAAATCATGGGAACTTTATATATCTGGTTGGTGGTATACCTACCCCTCTGACAAAATGAGTTCGTGATTCTTCCCAAGTACATGGAAAAATAAAATTAATGTTCCAAACCACCAACCAGATATCTACGGGGGATACATGTTGAAATATAGGCTAACGATAATTAACCAGCCACAATAGGGATCTAACCAAAAACACATGGGGATCAAACAACGAATCACAGAAAATGCGGATATAACCTGGGTTCATGGGACAATTCCAACAGACTCATACATATCTGGTTGGTGATTTCAACCATCTTGAAAAATATGAGTTCGTCAATGGGAAGGATCATCCATTATCCCATATAGTCTGGACATATTTAACATGTTTGAAACCAAATAGATATATTTTAATCAACCATTTTAAGCGGGTTGAATGGGCCAGGGTCAAAACATAGTATGTGGGGTTACAGTCATCCATCCCCCCACAAAAATTGAATCTTGTGCCACAGGAGGGTTTTTGACCTTCTTGGTCCGCTTGTTTTACCATCTTGATTGATTGCCATACTGCAGAAGACTCAAACAGAGTGCAAGGTTCGTGCAACTTTGTGTCAAATATGCACCTGAGAATGTCTCGATTGATTGTTAAGAAACTATTGGCCTCAGCAACCATGCGAGAAAATATCTCAAAAGATCACAGCATCAGTTTTTGCCACTGTCTTCGTTTTGTCAACATTCAAAAGGAGAGTTGTGGCTCGATCATTTTTGCATCATTTTCCCCGTTTCTCATCTTTTTTTTCATCATTCTCCCATGATTTTGTATTTTTCCAAGGATTTTGTAAGGTTGTCCCGTCATTTTCCCAGCTCCCAAAATGGCATTGAAGCCTTTTGAGCCCTAACCCGTTGGCCCCAAGCCGTGGCTCGGTGCCCGTGCCGTTTCGTCGTTGGGCCGCAGGCGGTTGGCCTCCAAGTGATGCAAACATGGAAGGTGAATCAGTGGAAATGGCAGGTTTTGGTCTTAGATTATGGCCATATCGGAATATATTATATGATATTATATGTTTATATGGTTTTACAAGATGAATATGGGTTTATGACCATATTCACATAAACCTGCCATTTCAGTGGAATATAACCATCTAAGACCAACACCATATTCCTTGGAAATATGACCATATTACGATTTATAACCATATTCCATCACTGGAAATATGGAAACATAGTCATATAATATGTAGTTATTTATGGTTTCATGGTTTTAGATCGTACTAGATGTAGTATTTTACATGGAACACATGTTTATGTAGTGTTATAGTTTTCATCTGATTGTATAATCATATATTATGCTATGTATATGTTTATAGGATTGTGAAAATGGTGATAAACATGTAAACGATCTCATGGCAACCGTATACTGCTTTACATGGTCTTGAGTACGGTTTATGTATATGTATATATACATATTTAAATATATTTTATGTTTATATAGTTTTATAAGATGAATATGGTTTTAAGATGGTGAACTGGGAGGTTCTATATGCTTAGACCCAGGAATATGGTTGGCCACAGCACCTGCGAATCATCAATGTCAACACTCGTGCGACCCGCCAGAGCACAAATCCTTGTTTCATCATTGGACAGTGCAAACCGTGGCTTGGCTGGAGGACTCTTGACAAGAAATTTGACGTCCTCCAATGAATACCCAGCTTTCCTTGCCGCTGGCAAAACCAAAATCCCCGCAATCAGGGCAGACCCATCATCATGGTACTCCAGCGGCAAATGCTTGGCCCCATGGCGCAAACAATAGGAAAAAACATTGGACAAGTTGACAAAC